TGCCCCGGGGGGGGATTGTTGGCGACGGACACTACGCAAAAGGTGTTTCCAGCCCCACGTTTGATAAGCATATTACAAAAAAACATAGATGAGGGGGTACATATATATATAAACATTTTTCTACCTGTGAAGATACGTATTCTTCCTTTCACCTTGGCACTGCTTGACTTCGCAATCGCGTGATATTATACACGTATGCTTATAACGCGGTTACAGTGGCATTGTTTTGATTTTTCCCATTTCGAAGTGGCTTTCCCTACGCAGTTGGTACTATTTTGTGCAGGGTGCATGCCGCTTGTTTGAAATGGTGGAAAAAACAGGTGTGGGGGTTGGTGCTGCCTTGTGTCCCCCAGGTGGAAATTTTTCTCCTCCACACAGCAACATTTTTGTAACACAAGTAAATATGCTTTTTTATACGTACATGTACACATAACTGCCATTATATGTACGTGCACACATATATATATATAAGCAAATTTAAAAGAAAAGGAAGGGAAGTTGTTAACAAAACCCTCCGCAGTTTGAAACGCCATCCATTTCTACATGTCCATACCGGTGCCGTCAAAGTGGGTCCACTCATACAAGGAATGGGGTACAAGGGGAATGGTGTGTATGAGGGTGGGGGAGGGTGATATGGTTGCGCCAAAGTGTGAACAAGGATAGCGCATATATGTGTGTACATATGAGCCCCACCGTCACCATTATGTGGTGGAAAAAAAAAAATAAATAAAATAACCAAACTGAAGTGGTCCCCCGAGGGAATGCATACACATACCTTCGAATTATTTGCATTCAAATGGGGTGGGCAAACACAAAAGGTGATATCCGTGTGAGGAAAAAAAAAGGATACACATATACGTACACATGCGTACCTTACATCCTACGATGCAAAAAAATTGCCCACTACGTTTGACACCCAAAGGAAAAACAGCCCCCTTAAAAAAAGGGAAGAAAAGGAAAAGACAATTTTTGCTCAGTAGGTATTAAGGCAACACTGCCACGGTGGTGTGATGGCAACTCTCTCCATCTACCGCAAATCCCCTCAACGTATGTTAAAAGGATAACAACTTTTGGAAGGAGCACTTGCTTGTGAGTACCAAAATGCCTGCGCTTTTGTTTTTTCCACTCCTCAGCGAGTTGCCGATCTGCTTCTTTAATCTCACAGGTGTGCAAAAAAAAAAAAAAAAAAAAAAAAA